ATCATTATATATCATTGAACCACGAGTGCTGCAATCGTAATCGGAACACTGTTATGCAACTGCAAATTATTCAGTTCCAATGCTGACATGTTACATTGGCCCATCACGACATTTTTGGAACCTGATTGCGAAAAAAGAATAATTCCGATGCTTTGTTATACATATTTTTTTATGAATCCTTTACATTTTATATGAAAAAATGAGCTATAAAATAAATTAAATTTTTTAATACGTTGAAATCGATAGATGAGAATTGGAGAAATTTTTAAGCATTAATTGCAAATACAATTATTTAAAAAAATTTATTTACAATTATTTAACAGAATATTACTTGATTAATTAAACTCCTCGCCTGGATTGAGTTCTAGGCAAACTGTTTTTTTCAAAATGTTAAAATTCTAACTGTATTATTCTTTTTGCAGCGCGATGCGAAAGTCAGTGTCATGGGAGCAAGCGGTGGCATTGGCCAGCCACTGTCTTTGCTTCTCAAACAGTCCCCCCTAGTTACGGAATTATCGCTATACGATATTGTGAACACACCTGGCGTCGCTGCCGATCTCTCACATATGAATACTCCTGCAAAAGTTAAAGCCTATAATGGTCCGGAGCAACTCAAAGATTCTCTTAAAGGTTCTCAGGTATGTGTCATTATGGTACAAAAGATTATATTAGTGTCAGTATTTGATAGATACAGAGTTAGCCATACAAATATTTAATAGTTACACTTAAAAATGGTAACTTATCTTTTATTTAATTTATTTAATTCATTAGATTGAAATTAATCGATCTCGTTTTAAATTTTCACGATTTATTTATTTGTATGCATTACTTTTAGGTTGTTATTATACCTGCGGGTGTTCCACGCAAACCAGGCATGACACGTGATGATCTGTTTAATACGAATGCCTCCATCGTCCGGGATCTTGCCGCTGCGGTGGCCGAAGTTGCGCCAAAGGCTTTTGTAGCAATCATCTCAAATCCAGTCAACAGCACAGTACCGATTGCGAGTGAAGTGCTACAGAAGGCGGGTGTTTACGATCCTAACCGTGTATTCGGAGTGACTACTTTGGATATCGTCAGGGCAAACGCCTTCATCGCGGAAGCTAAGGTATTCAATACAGCAATATACATAAAATAATCTTTAACTTATGCACAAGTAAATATTTTTAATGTTATCTTATGTTCCTAACACAAGCAAAATTATCTCCGCATTAAAATGGATATATACGTTCCGAAAGTTACTATAGCAACTGTAATAAATTAAGACTTCATCTGTTTTGATCAAATATCTCGATTAAATTTTTTTTCATCTGTTTCTCAAGTACGAACATTTAGCTTCAGATTGTTCTATATGTAAAGGATTAAACATGATAATATACATATATATAACACAAGAAAGAATTTATAAAATTTAACAATGCGTTTGCGGATAAAACCATATTCGATCAGGGATCTTGGTGCCTAATATTTTTGTGTAAATTTTTACACTTTTTAGTTTAAACAAATTGTGCCTTGATCAAGTATAGCTCCTCTTTATTCAATATTGTTTATAAGATTTATTCTTTGTTTTTAACATGATGATCCCATATATAAATGTAATGAATAATTAAAAGACGTCGAATGCAACAGTATTAATTTTCGCTCAATGGCATATTGAATTGGAACGATAAATATGTGTCGCTTACTTTTTATCTTCCGTCAATAAAAAAAACAATTGTTAAGATACTGATAATACTGAAATGGTTGCTTTTTTAGGGCCTTGATCCGCAGAAAGTCAACGTCCCAGTCATTGGCGGACATAGTGGCATCACTATTATCCCGTTGATCTCGCAGTGCACACCATCGGTTTCCTTCCCGGATAATCAGCTGAAAGCGCTTACCGAGAGGATTCAAGAGGCCGGTACCGAGGTCGTTAAAGCTAAGGCAGGAACTGGATCCGCGACTTTGTCCATGGCTTTTGCTGGCGCACGATTTGGTCTTTCATTAATAAAAGCGTTAAATGGGGAAACAGGTATCATCGAGTGCTCGTACGTCAGGTCGAATGTCACTGATGCCAAGTACTTTTCTACGCCGATACTTCTGAGCGTAAGTAAAGATCTCAAAATAAACTGCTTAACACCGCATTAACGCTTGTGCTATTATACACTTTGAAAAGAAATGGCTTCAAATAAAAAATTATCTTCTCTTCATATACGAGGGTCGTTTGAAAAGTCCGTGCAAAAATAAAAACTACTTAATTTTTTGGGGTAAACTTTTTTTATTTTTCAACATAGTCACCTTTTAGGCTTATGCACTTCGTCCAACGCTGCTCTAATTTGTTGATCCCTTCCGAATAATAGGATTTGTCCAAGTCTGAAAAATAGCCATTTGTTTCTGCAATCACCTCCTCGTTTGCATAAAATCTTTTTCCCGCCAGCCATTTCTTCATATTGGGGAACAAATAGTAGTCCGAGGGAGCCAAGTCTGGAGAATAGGGGGGATGTGAAACGAGTTGGAACCCTAATTCCATTAATTTTGCGACCACAACTGCTGAGGTGTGAGCTGGTGCGTTACCGTGATGGAAAAGGACTTTTTTGTGGGCCAATCGTGGGCGTTTTTCTTGCAGCTCGGTTTTCAAACGGTCCAATAACGATGAATAATATGCACCTGTAATAGTTTTACCCTTTTCCAGATAGTCGATGAGGATTATTCCTTGCGAATCCCAAAAAACAGTCGCCATAATCTTTCCGGCCGAAGGAACGGTCTTCGCCTTTTTTGGCGCAGGATCACCCTTGGTAACCCATTGTTTAGATTGTTCTTTAGTCTCAGGAGTGTAGTGATGTATCCATGTTTCATCCACAGTGACGAAACGACGCTTAAAGTCCTGCGGATTCTTCTGGAACAGCTGCAAACCGTCCTTGCAACACTTCACACGATTTCGTTTTTGGTCAAGCGTGAGCAGTCGCGGCACCCATCTTGCGGATAGCTTTGTCATGTCCAAATGTTGGTGCAAAATATTATGCACCCGTTCATTCGAGATGCCCACAGCATTAGCAATCTCACGCACCTTCAATCTTCTGTCATCCATCACCATATCATGGATTTTTTCAATGATTTCTGGAGTAGTAACCTCAACAGGGCGTCCTGAACGTTCAGCGTCACTTGTGCCCATATGGCCACTCCGGAAATTTTGAAACCACTTATAAACTGTTCTAATCGAAGGTGCAGAGTCACCATAATGTTTATCAAGCTTCTCTTTAGTCTCTTGAGGCGTTTTGCCTTTCAGAAAGTAATGTTTAATCAACACACGAAATTCTTTTTCGTCCATTTTTTGAAAATCACTCGACTTCCTCGATTCAAATGAATGCCAAACACAAACAAATAGACCGATCTGGCTAAAACGTGGTGTGTGTTCTTCCAAGAGATGCTACTAACTAAATCTAACCTTGATACGCGCCAGTAGTGCCATTTCTCTGACTTTGCACGGACTTTTCAAACGACCCTCGTACATGATTTGTTTTTTAATCAATATAAAAATGTATTTTTTTATTATATGTTGTCTATTCTTAGAATAATATGATACAATTCAACTATTCAATTATTGTTACATCATGTATTTCATAACAAATATACATATTTCGAAAAAATATTCGAAAGAAAATTTCTTAGGAAGACTATTCCAAATAAAAATGTATAAAAGATGTTTTGCTTTATTACATAATTACAGCATTAAAAAAGATGAAAATTTTCATTTGGAATTTATTTGAAATTTCAGAAAAATGGAATTGAGAAGAATTTGGGATTAGGTAAACTAAGCAGCTTTGAGCAGAAATTGCTGGACGCCGCCATCCCGGAGCTTAAGAAAAATATTCAGAAGGGAGAAGACTTTATAAATAAAAAGTGAGATCTCTGTCGGGCCTAGTTGGATAGAGCGTGATCTGTCGAATTGCGTGCGATGAGAAATGCCGGCCTTCCTTGCTCGCCTTGCAATTATGATAGGTTATCACAACAATCGAAATTTTTTAATCATGAAAAGCGCATAAGTCTGTGAATGTATCTTCCATTTCTCTTGATATGCATGTTAAAAATGTAGAATTGCGGACAGATTATCGAATATTAAGATCATGTAGTATAAGTGAAATATGTATAATAATTGAAAGATATAGAAACTATAGAGAAAAATTATATCTGTAATAGGAAATTATGTAAAATAAGGAATAAAAATTGGACTTTTTCAAAATTGGCATATCTGCTCGAGCAATTTTTTGTGTACGATGTAGAAAAAGTTTGAATAAACGCTCTTTCGACTAAACGTAAGAAAGCCTAGTTTCTTTCTCTTTGATCACAGATTTTACACTTGTATTTAATATGTGATATTACTACTTTAGTTCTGTTAATGCGTTTCAAGATTAGAAAAAATTATGGCGCGCGGTTTGCAGAATTGGATATGTACGTATATAAATTCACATAGAAATATTTAAGCACTAAGATCCGCTTAGAACCGAATATAGGATTTCTCTTATTTAATTAGTTTTATATATTTGTTCTCACGAATTAAATTTAAGTTGAAATTTTCTTCGAATGAAAGTTCAACTTGCCTGTATATTATGACTTTGACGATCAGATTTCATAAATTTACTTTAAAATCGATTTTAAACAATAGACTATACAAGAAGATCAACTTAAATACGACGAAATTATGCCCGTTTCTACTAATATAGTTTAATTGTAATCTCGGTTCAATTGTCTTCTTTTTTCAAGTTGTAAGAATTGGAAAAAGAAGATATTAAAGTTAATCTTTAATATCTGATTGATAGAAACGGATATTAATCGGTAGTATCTAGATTTATACGCGCATGACGGGAAGTTACGTATCGTCGTATGTAAATACCGAACCACAATAATACACAAGTAGACAACCTTGAAATGAACAGTAACGAACTCTCAAGCGTGGATACAATAATTCTCTCGTATCCGTAATTCGTACGAAAGTAGCGCAAAAACGCGCTTTGAAATCTGATTAAATCGCGCAATTTTAATAAAGAGTGCAAATAGATATAATATTTAATTTATCGCGAGACGATCTTGTATATAGTACACAGTGATATTATCCGGATACAAATATTTCATGACGAAACGCAAGCACAAACGATCGCGGAAGAAGGCGAAATTTCTGAAGGTGCAGGAGTCTTCTCAGAAAAATGTCCGGCCGGGATTCTTTGATCGGAGAAACGAAGATAAAGAAACGAGCGATGCTTCGCATCCGCATCAATGTTCTCCGGAATCGGTGCTGTTCGAATCGCCTCACGTGGACCCGCTCTGCGGTAATAAGCTCAGTCCGGAGATCGTTTCCAAACAATCTAAGACGAAATTGGAGGGCTTCAAGAATGATTCGGAAATCGAGATCGCTGCGCGGATGATAGAGCAATCGAGTCCGATCTCCTCCAAGTATTGCAAGTCGAAGCTTCGGATTTACGATACCAACTGTATCAATGATTATTCTAATAATTTAGAAAACTGTGAACGCGAGCAGAATGCTATCAAATCGATTGCCAGCGAGCCGTTCGATCTCACGGAGAATTATTCATTTTGTTTATCGTCCTTGAGCAATGAGACAAACAACAATAGAATGGCCAATATAACATACGATGAGAGATCCTCGAATACCGTTGATGAAGAGGCCTATCGAAATATTTCGAGATCAACGATATTTCGCTCCAATTTGGAATCTCAATCGCGTGACGACGTATGCATTTTCGCGAATGTCTTAGAACCTGCGAATTTCGATGAAAAACGATCTCCCAGCTCGAATCAACGAGAAGATCACTATAATATATTTGAAACGATAGACGATTGTTATTTATTAGATAAGACGTTTTCGATGAACGACGATCTCATGCGTGACATAAATGGTTATCTGGACGAGCAATCGTCGACGATGATCGCCAACAAATTGGGGATGGATCGCATCTCGAAACCCCGACATTTCGAGATTTTATGCGAGACCGACGAGCGGAGCGAGCTCGGATTATCAGTCCGTAAATCCGTCGATGGATCTGACGATGGATTGCGAAATAATTTGGACAATAACAAGAGGAGGACAATAAAATCGAGCGACAATAAAAAATTCGACGTCGCGCTCGAGAAGATCGGCGAACGTTTGACAGCGAATTGGCGTGAGTTCCGAAAGATCTTCGCGTATCTGCGGCGAATGAACGGCGCGGGCGGGAAGACTCGCGGCGCGGACCGCGAAGACGACGACGCAGTCGAAACTAGCGAGTTCTTGTTACACAAGTACAGGAGGTTCTCCGACATCTCCGTCTCGACATTGTCCCTGCCCTCTATGTTTTGCACAGCTTCGACTTCGCCGAGGAAACTGAACCATCAGCATGAATCAATTAATGAATGCGAAAGATCGAAACGAGAAACCGAAAGCGAAAAAAGCGAAATTCCGCCGGAGTCCACAACGCCTCGCATCGGATTGATGAATCGCTGTCGCCGAACGACCTTAACATTCGGGGATGAGGACGAAGGAGAGGCGGCGAGGCACCGGGAACCGGCAGTTCGCGCCCCGGACATCACGGATCCGCTTTCGGAAATGAAGAAGAAAGATGAGGAGCGTTCGCTTCTGTTAGATTTGCCATCGTTCTGTAAAATGCCTCATCAAGACGTCAGCCACTTCCCGGAATCAACGACCGCTTCCAAACTGTCTGGTCATGATTGTCGTAGCGACTCTCTGCAAAAAGTATACATCTCTCTCTCTCTCGTAATATATGATTTTTAAATAAAACAGTGTAAATAAAGTATTTCTCATGATTTTGTCGTAATTCAATATAATATGCATTGAGGGAAAAATAGAAATCTTTTATGGAGAATTTTATCAAAAAATAGTGTTTTATATATTTTCACTTGTTCGGTTCTCGCGTGAAATTGCTGCGCGTCAGATATAAAGCTGCCCTTTACAAATTTATTCTTATGATGATAATTTGAAATTTCTTTCTCTGTGTTTTCAAATAATTAGACAGAATATCACTGGAATGGCTCTCGTAATCACCAGGCACCCCAAACGGTTCGAAACACTCCCAGTCACGTATTTCGACGAAGAAACATTACCCGTACGATAATCACATGGGTGATCGCTATTAGCATTTGGCTGATAAAGAAATTGCTGCATCTCGTAAATGTTGTAAGTTTCTTATAATTTGTTTAAAATGAATATTCTTGTTTCCTCACTGCACCTATATTGAATTACAGTCAAATTTTTCTATAATTCTTAACATATTGAAATCGAACAAATTCTTTGATATTCTTAACACTTGGAAAAGTTTTTTAATCATAGAAATAATTTTATAAATAACTTTAATTACACATACGTGTCTGTACGTAAATATTTTTTTATTACTTAATGTCTTACTTGTAACATTACTTGTACATCTGTCTATTTTAGGTAAAATTGATAATAATCAATTTTTTTTACAGGGTTACAAAAAACTGCAACAGAAATTGATCGTTCCGCCTTTATGGAGTTGTTGGACAAAGAAATTTGATCATCTGGTGGAAACAATGAATTCCGAAAAGGAAATGTTGCATGCAATGTCGGAAAGGATGACGCGACTTTCGGAAGATTTCGACCAGGTAATAAGATTACTCTCAAATTCATTATTTGGTCCTACATCGTGAGACTGAATTTAAAATGTTCAAATTATATTCTTATTTCTTTATGAATTTAAAAAAAAATGATAAATATTTTGTATATTTAAAAATCTATATACATATTTTGATATCACGTACATCTTTTTGATCCGTCGTAGATACGAACAAACACCGAAACCACTCTTAACGCTCTGACAACCAATATGAACATCTTTCGTGAAACTAGTAAAAAAATGACGGAAGATAATACGGCATTGCTTCTGGAGCTAAAGAAATTGCGTGAAACGCTAGAGGAAGTCCGACTGAAATCTTCGCAACAGGTCTCCTTACCTACTTCGTGTCCTTTTCCTCATTCGTCTGCATCTCCTTTTTCACCTTTACCTTCTTCTCCATCTTCATCTTTTCCTTCTTCTTCTTCTTCTCTTCCTCCTCCTTCTTCTCCTCTTCCTCCGCCGCCGCCGCTACCCTCTTTGGAATTTGC